TTGGAGGAAGATGAACAGTAGAGCTTGTGGTGTTATTAGGTCATGCTTGACGCCGGATCTTATTTATGATGTTATGAACGAGACGTCGGCGAAGAAGATGTGGGAAACACTCAATGAGAAATATCTTACGAAGAGCATTGGGAATCGACTTTACTTGAAGAAGAGATTTTACCAGTTCAAGATGAAGAGGGGAGTTTCCATCAGGGAGCATGTCAACAACTTCACTAAGCTACTTTCAGATATGGTCAATGTTGATATTATAGTTGAGGATGAAGACAAGGCGATGCTACTTCTGTGTTCGTATTGATATTATAGTTGAGGATGAAGACAAGGCGATGCTACTTCTGTGTTCGTTGCCCGAAGATGATTATGCTACGTTCGTTCTCACTATGATCAATGGAAGAACTACAGTCGGCTACAAGGAGGTAACCTCAGCTTTGGTGAACTATGAGTTGAGGAAGAATGATGGTGAACCCTCCGAGAAGGCATCGGGAGATGCGTTAGCAGTTCGAGGCCGAGATCCAAACCGTCGTCAGTTCAACCGCTCAAAGTCAAAGAATAGGAATGCCTATAAGAGTGTTGGTAGAAATCAATGTCGGTATTGTAAAGAAGAAGGACATTGGAAGATTGACTACCCAAAGTGGAAAGAAAAAGCCGGAAAGAATAAGGGGAAAGCTGCACAAGCTTCAGAAGTGAATGTTGCAAAAGCTATTGGTGAGCATTCAGATTCAGATTCTTCAGGCTATTCATGCCCTGCGTTACCGTCAGTTTGCTATGCGGATTCCATGGAGTGGATGATGGATTCGGGAGATACATATCACATCTGTCCTAAGAGGGAGTGGTTTTCTAGCTTTGAGGAGCTGGAAAGAGGGGATGTCGTGCTTAGGGTAATGACCACGTATGTCCTATTGGTGGTATTGGTTCAGTCCGGATTAGGATGCATGATGGTGTAGTGAGGGAGTTGAAGGGAGTGAGGTTCGTACCGCAGTTGACGAAGAACATCATTTCTCTTGGGGCTTTGGAGGCAGCAGGATATCGGGTGATCTTAGAGGATGCTACAGTGAAGGTCACGAAGGGTTCTATGGTGGTGATGCGAGGAGTCAGGGAAAACTACCTATACTCTACTTGAAGGGCAAGGCAGTTACAAGGGGTCTGGCAGCTTCTATCACTACAGATGAGGACACTACCACCTTATGGCACATGAGACTTGGACACATAGGTGATAAGTTTCTACAGTCATTGGAAAAACAGGGGCTATTGAAAGGTGCTAAGACCTGCAAGATGGAGCTGTGTGAGCACTGTGTACTTAGGAAGAAGACTAGAGTGAAGTTTGGCACCGCTGTTCATAACACCCAAGGTACTTTGGATTACATTCACAAAGATGTTTGGGGTCCTTCCAAGAACACATCTCTTGGGGGGGGCAACTATTTTGTCACTTTCATTGATGACTATTCCAGGAGGAATTGGGTATACCCGATGAAGCAGTCACTTTCATTGATGACTATTCCAGGAGGAATTGGGTATACCCGATGAAGCATAAACATCAGGTCCTAGATATTTTTGTGGAGTGGAAGAAGAAAGTGGAGCTGCAGACAGGTAGAAAGGTGAAGACTCTATGTTCAGATAACGGTAGAGAGTACAAGAGTGATCCGTTTCTGCAGTTTTGCCGGGATCACGGCATTAGAAGACACTTCACAGTTCGAGAGACACCACAACAGAACGGGGTGGCTGAGAGATTGAACCGTACCTTGCTGGAGAAGGTGCGGTATATGATGACACAGAGTGAATTGCCTAGATCCTTTTGGGCCGAGGCGGTAGTTTATGCGAACCATCTCGTGAACAGGTTGTCGTGCACTACGATAGACGGGAAGACTCCTTTGGAGCATTGGTTTGGTTCGGTGGCTAGTGATTATGAGTCGCTTCGGATATTCGGGTGTCCAGCTTATTATCATATTAGTGATGGTAAATTAAATCCGAGAGCGAGGAAAGCAATCTTTGTGAGATTTAGAGATGGAGTCAAAGGCTTCAAGTTATGGGATACACAGGACAAGAAGATAGTTATTAGCAGAGATGTCACATTTGACGAGGCGTACATGATGAGACCTCGAGCCCCTCAGCAGGTAGAGGGAGACCAGACAGATGAGATATCGTAGCAGGTGGAGGATGATGTGACTCCACTTACTCCAGAGAGCATTGTATCCATCGAGGCTCCTACAGAGGTGACACTGGGAGGAGATGAGATGACAGCCGGGCAGATATAGGATACAGTGGATCATAGGACTCATGAACAGGGTCATGTTCAGAGGTCCATTGTAGCAGATAGACCGAGGAGAGAGATTCGTCGGCCAGCTAGGTATAATGATGCCATGGTCGCATATACATTATCAGTGGAGGTCGTTGATGATATGGTTCCAGCCACATTCAGGGAGGCAGAGACTAGCCCCGATTCGATCAGGTGGAGGGAAGCTATAGAGGAGGAGATGCGGTCTCTTCAGAAGAACGATACTTGGACACTTGCACATCTACCTAAGGGTAAGAAGGCTATAGGTTGCAAGTAGGTATATGCGAAGAAGGAGGGATCTTCTATTGGGAACATAAGGTTCAAAGCCAGATTGGTTGCCAAGGGATATGCACAGCTTGAGGGCATTGATTACAACGAGGTATTTTCACCCGTTGTGAAGCATTCGTCTATACGGATTTTATTAGCGTTGGTGGCACAGTTGGATTTGGATTTGGTCCAGATGGATGTGAAGACAGCCTTTCTACACGGTGATTTAGATGAGGAGATCTACATGACACAACCCCAGGGTTTCAAAGCTGCAGGAAAGGAAGATTTGGTTTGTAAGTTGAAGAAGTCTCTTTATGGTTTGAAGCAGTCACCAAGACAGTGGTATAAGAGATTCGACGGCTTTATGATTGGCCGAGGGTACACGAGGAGCCCATATGACCCATGTGTTTATATGCACAAGCAACAGGATGGTGAGCTCATATATTGACGATATGCTTATTGCGTCCAGGAATTCTTCGGCTATTCGAAAGTTGAAAGATGAGCTGTCATCCGAGTTTGAGATGAAGGATCTTGGAGAGGCAAAGAAGATATTGGGTATGGAGATCAAGAGAGACAGGGTGAAAGGGAGTTTGAAACTTACACAGGAGAGCTACTTGCAGAAGATGTTAAAGAAATTCAGCTTTGATGGTAATGCAAAAGCAGTTAGCACACCATTGGTTCCCCACTTCAAGCTTTCAGCGTTGATGTCACCTGTTTCAGTTGAGGACAGAGATTATATGTCAAAGGTCTCATATGCCAGTGTAGTAGGTAGCTTGATGTATGCAATGGTGTGTACGAGGCCAGATTTATCACAGGCCGTGAGCATGGTATCAAGATACATGCACGACCCCGGGAATGGTCATTGGGAGGCCGTGAAGTGGATTCTACGGTATGTCCGAGGCACCGTGGATGTTGGTTTAGTATTCCAGAAGGATGAGAAGGATGAGCAGGATTGTATTGGATATGTGGATTCAGATTATGCTGGAGATCTTGACAAACGCCGGTCTACTTTAGGTTATGCTTTTACATTGGCAGGTGCACCTGTATGTTGGCGATGCACGCTTCAGTCCACAGTGGCTCTCTCTACTACAGAGGCAGAGTATATGACAGTTATTGAAGCTATTAAGGAGGCTTTATGGTTGCGTGGATTATTGGAGGACTTGGGGATCGCTCAGGAGACTATTCGGGTATATTGTCATAGCATGTCGGCTATCTATTTGGCGAAGAACCAGGTTTATCATGCGCGCACGAAGCACATAGACGTCAGATTCCACTTTGTACGTGACGTGTTGGATGATGGAGACGTCATATTAGAGAAGGTCCACACGAATGACAACCCTGCAGATATGTTGACCAAAGTTGTTTCAGGAGTAAAATTTGGTCGTTGTTTGAAGCTTTTGAACATCCTTCAGTGCTGAGGCTTTTGGAGGCCATTTGGGTGAACTACGTTCGGCTTGATTCCTTGGACAAGAGGATACGTAGGCAGTCTTTCAGATGCAGCCGGTTTGATCAGTTGATTCAGATGGGGGGAGATCACGTTTCAGCTCTAGATTGGTTCCCTGACTTGTTGAGGGACTATTGGATGATTTGGTGTCGGCTCAGTTTTTGGTGGAAACATTCGCCGAGGTGGAGAATTAAAGAAATTACACTAAACAGGAGAGAATCTGCAGGCAGAAGCCAGACAATCTGGCGGTCGACCGCCAACGGTGCACACAGACCTAAGTAGGATTCGATGTGGTGGCGGTCGACCGCCGCAGTCGCCGCGATGGACTGTAAGTGATTTATCTCTTGGGTTTGTGATTCGGTCGACCGCCGCAGTCGACCGGCAGAGACCTGCGCGGTCGACCACCGCGGTCGACCGTCGATGTTCTGGGCTGGGCCTTTTGGATTTTAACCCGTTTCGTTTCTGAGTTGTATATAACTCAAAACCTGATTGTTTAGGGTTAAGCAAGGACGAATTTGAGCAGTCTTTGAGAGAGAATTGTTGCATCCAATTGTGGGAGAGTTGTGAGAGATCAAGAGCTTTGTTTTAGAGTTTGATCTGAGAGATTTGCAACTCTACTTGTATTCTCTGATTTCTAATAGTAAGAACTCCCCCCTCCTTGCCCCGTGGACGTAGGCAACTTGCTGAACCACGTAAAATTCTTTGTTCTTGCTGTGGTTGTGTTTGCATATTAGTTGTGGTTAGTTCGAGTTATTGTTTGTGTTGCTCAAGAAAGCTTCCGTCGCACACAACATGCGGAATGTAGAAAGTCATGAAGAGAATGAATATTCCTATAAATAATTTGATATTTCTCTGTCCCCCCAAAATTTTAACCTATTCGCAGTTCACAATGGATGGACGCGCAATGCTAAGTGCATGTCTAAGCTCGCTTGATACTAGAATTATTTGTGTATCCGGTGCAAGAAGTAATTTTATTGTGTGAACTGCAGGAATTGGAGTGAGATAAAACGAAATGTTCTGCACAAATTTGCTGGAAAATATGAAAGTGGTGTATATGGAGCTAGCCTTATCCATTTGTAATCTAACAGCTCAGCCAAACGATGCTGACCATTTAAGCTTTTCCCTCCCTCATCTCTGCAACAGTTGAGTCTAGACTCCAATGGAGCAAACCATCTCCAATTCTCAAAATATACCATCTTCAACCCACAAATCATTCTCTAAAACAAGAAAGAAAAAGAGATACCAGTTCAAAGTCCAGTGCCTTCAAACTACAGATCCACTCACAGAAAACCCCGTATCTGCTCAGTCTCTTCTTCAAACACCCAGCTCCTCAGCATCATTACAATCTCATGATTCATCCAAGCAAATCCATGCCCAGATCATTAAAAGTGGAGGAAAATGGATGTCTTGCTCTCTTACTTGCAACCTTATCCAATTGTGCTTAGAAACTGGAGACACCCAGTCAGCAGCAATGTTGTTTTCCGCAGGTTTAGATAGTGGCTCTCTCTCATTGAGCTACCTAACAGATGCATTTGACAAAGGAAGAGTCGATCCCTACGAGTTCCTTAGAATTTTTCAGCATTTGCATAGAACTGGAAGTGTCTCAAATGTCAGAATTCTCACTGCAGCTATAAAAATATCAGCAGAATTGGGTGATTCGTGGCTTGCTTTCCAAAGCCACGCCTTAATTGCTAAATCAGGTTTAGATGCTGAAACCCTTCTGAAGTGTTATCTGATGGATTTTTATGCAGAATTTTTTAGCATGGAATCCACAGAGAAGTTGTTTCGAGAAACACCCGTAAAATGTGATGTACTTTGGAATAAAGCCGTTATGTTGAATGCAGAGAAGGAGTTATGGTGGAAAGCTATTGAGTTATTCCGCGAGATGCAGAGTTCAAATGTGAAGGCCGATGAAATCACTATGGCTAAAATTCTCAATTCATGTGGGAGAGTTGAGGCTCTTAGGCTTGGCAAACAGATACATGGGCATGTAATTAGATCAGGACTTCTACCAAACCTGTTAGTGAGCAATTCATTGATCACAATGTACTCCAAGAACTCTTCTATAGAATCTGCAAGAAGAGTGTTTGAATCCATACCAAACCCGAGTCTTGTCTCGTGGAACTCCATGATCTCTTGTTGTTCTCTCAACGGCTTTCTAGTCAATGCAATGGAGCTTTTCAATGACATGGTTGAATCTGGGATGGAGACCGACGTGGTGACATGGAATTGCCTCATCTCCGGTCACTCTCTTCATGGATTCAATCACCAAGTTTTTGAACTTTTCAGAAGAATGCAATTTAAGGGTCTGAAGCCCAATTCGAGCACAATCACCAGCGTTCTTCGTGCAGTTTCTGGGTCTAATTTGATTAAATTCGGGAAAGAAATACATGGATGTGTGATGAGAAATGGTCTTGAATGCAATGTATACACTGGAACTTCGCTTGTAGATATGTACTTGAAATGCTGCAGTTTGTCAAATGCTCATAGGCTTTTTGATACAATGAAGCATAGGAATGTAATTACTTGGAATTCTCTGATAACAGGGTATGCCTATGCTGGGTTTCTTGATGAAGCTCTACAACTTTTGAAGAGAATGGAGAATGGAGGCCTTCAGCCTAACATAATCACATGGAATGCTTTGATTTCTGGTTACTCGATGAAAGGGCAGAGCAGGCAAGCTTTAGTATTGATTCGTCAACTAAAATCGATAGGACAAAAGCCAAATGTGGTCTCATGGACTGCTATAATCTCTGGATGTTGTCAAAATGAGCAGTATGAAGATAGTTTATACTTCTTCACTGAGATGCAGAAAGAAGGAATCAAGCCCAATTCAGCTACTCTTGCAACTGTTCTCCGAGCTTGTTCAAGTCTTGCTTTGCTAAATAAGGGAGAAGAGATTCACTGTTTTGCAACAAGAATAGGATTGGATACAGATATATATGTAGCTACATCACTCATTGATATGTACTCTAAATCTGGAAGCTTACGAAATGCTTACCAAGTCTTTAAGAAGATTGAAAACAAGAATCTAGCTTCATGGAATGCAATGATCATGGGCTTTGCAGTTTATGGCCAAGCGAAACAAGCCTCTTTGCTTTTCGATGAGATGTCTAAATTAGCGGTTAAACCTGATGGAATAACTTTCACGGCACTTCTCTCAAGTTGCAGGCATTCAGGTCTGATCACTGAAGGATGGAAGTACTTTGATGGAATGAAAACTAAGTATGGGGTTGTTCCGAGATTAGAACATTATACTTCCATTGTTGATCTCCTAGCTCGATGGGGGTATCTTGATGAAGCATTGGACTTCATACAAGACATGCCATTAGAGCCTGATGCCAGCCTGTGGGGTGCTCTACTCGGAGCTTGTAGAACTCACAGAAATCTTGAGATTGCAGAGATAGCTGCTAGAAATCTGTTCAAGTTAGAGCCACATAACTGTGCGAACTATCTATTGATGATGAGTTTATATGCATATGAGAATCGATGGGAAGATGCGGAGAACATGAGAAATGCAATGAATGCAGCTGGACTGAAGAGCAAATCTGGATGGAGCTGGATTCAAATTGGCCAAACTGTGCATGTTTTCTCTGCTGAAGGGAAACAACATGAAGATATTGGAGAGATATATTTCGAATTGTATCAGTTGATTTCTGAATTGAAGAAGTCTGGTTATGTTCCTGATACAAGCTGCATTGTTCGTAATGTTAGAGAGGAAGCAAAGGAGAAATTGTTGATGGCTCATACTGAGAAGTTGGCGATAACCTATGGATTAATCAATACTAGTAAAACTACAATGATTAGAGTGATAACAAATACAAGGGTATGCAATGACTGCCACACAATGGCAAAGTGTGTGTCAAAGATTACAGGTCGAGAGATTTATCTTAGAGATGGTGTGCGATTTCACCACTTCATAGGTGGGGAGTGTTCATGCAATAATTACTGGTAGAAGTTGAAAGAGGCACTTATACTGATTATGAGATGTGCTGATAGCTAAAACAATCGATCAATGTAATCTGCTTGTGAACTGAACTCAGAAGCCTTGATCATGAATAGAGAGGCCAAAAAGAAGCGCAAATTCAACAAAATAGTGCAATTAAAAGAAACTACTTGATAACCCATAGCTCAGAAACTACAGCAAGATGAAAGGTCTGATGAAAATAAAAGTGCGTAAAGAAATATCAATGAAGATGACATAGGAATCCATAGAAATATTATAAGACTGGGAATGTTAAAGATGTCGTAGTTTGTAAAATATATGTGAATGAGATGATTGAAACGTTTAACTACAGCAATTATCGTTTGATATACCTCCAATATATGAAATATGACAGCTTTCTTTACTACACATGCATTTCTAATAAGAAAAATTATTGAATGCCTCTCCACAAGATCCATCTTTCAAAGGAGAGCTATCTATTTGACTTAAAAAAATAATCCATTCCATTGAAACAACAAAAGAATTCACCTTCCAGGCGAGGGAGAGAGAGAGGGAGAGGGAGGAACAAGTATTGGTTGTGAAATAAAAATATCATTCCAATAACAGAAAACATCAAATTGTTGTCGAACAAGCACTCGACCCAGTCGTGCTAGTCAACTCTGAGCACGCTCCAGGCTGAACCACAAGGGCAGAACCACTCACATCGGTGCATTTCCATGGTACTTCCCTCGATCCAGCATTCAAAAGCTTAACATTATACAGACAGATACCAGTGAAGGGTGAGTTCTTAATACCCTTTATCAACCCAGGCTGCTGCACTTCCTCACCCCAAACATTCTTGATCATCAACCCACTGACAGCGGGCAAAGCATTCGGATTGAACTTATCATCAGGGTGGTCCCCGACATCGCCAGCAATCCTCAACCCATATCGAACCTCGGTCATTTTCACATCAGTGATTGTTATGTTTCTTATGTACCCTCCTCTTCCCACGTTGGTTTTTATATGAATACCAAATCCGGAGTTGAAGATAGTTATATTTTCAATCCAGACATTTTCCACCCCACCTGAGGTTTCACTTCCGACTGCGATTCCAGCAAAAGGGGAGGATCCTGTCACCCTTCTAATAGTGATGCCTGAGCTTGGACGGCCATATGCAATTCCATACTCATCCCATCCACTCTTAATGGCGACTAGGTCATCTCCAGTTGCAATGTAGGAATCTTCAATGCAGACGTTGGAGCTAGAATCTGCAAATACATAGAAAATGTGTGAGAAAGTATTAATTCAGCTTTCGCAAAGGTTTCATATGTCAAACTGAAGACTAAACAATATATGATAACAGTCAATAAGGGTAAAATGTACCTGGATCAATTCCATCAGTATTTGGAGAGTCATGTGGAGCAAGTATAGTCACATTTCTTACTACCAGATAGCTGCAAAAGAAAGAAAGTAAATGAATAGATTGTCTCAGACAAACCACCATGTTAAGGTTCAAGTAATGCATTACAAGAATGAAGTTCAGCACAAGCACTAACAAAGGGATAAGAAATAAAAGGGAAAAAAGGAAAGAGAAAACGATGATGTGTTATAACCCGTAAAGTGTATTTGCTCTTCATTGTCAATGAAGTTCCAAAGGTCAAGAAGAAATTAGTTTAGCAAAAGTAAGCACTTGGAGAGGTTAGGCTCTGGATTGTCATAAGGAGCCTCGTGAACAATCCCAGTGAATACAGACTACTTATCATAATATACCTGCAATAAACAGGGTGGATGTTCCAAAAAGGTGAATTTCTAAAAACCACGTTCGAGATGATGATATCTGTAGAATGCATCAGCTCCAAAATGTTTGGTCTGGTGAAAGGGAGAGTTCTTTGCCTCCACATATTCCACCACATGTCACCTTGGCCATCAATTGTTCCATTATCTCCTGCAATGAATAGTTTACATGAAACAGCCTGCATATTAATTATCAATTTGAACCTCATACATAGATTCAAAGCAGTAATAAAAAATGAGTATGAACATGCACACAAGACTTTTCTTTTTCATATCCTAATCTCCAAGAAGACATAAAGGATAAAGCTAAAAGGGTAACCACAGTCAGAATGATATATTAGCTTTCAGATGATTTTTAGTTTATTTTCTTTTATGCATATATTAATCACTCATTTAAGGTAACTATGCAGGGGGGAATTACAGTCAAAAGATGAACTAACATCTATTAGTCGTAATTTTGTCCCAATAATCAGCTAGTAGCGTGCTATGCTAGCTCAATTCACAAAACCCTGTATGTCTACAGAAATTATAAAGGTTTTCATCTTGATAAACTCCAATCAATACAAAATCCTTCAAATCACCTCCATGGCTTTGAAGGCCATCTGATCTATCAAGGCAGATAAATAGCCTGACTACAAGAAGAAAGACATAATATCGATAGATCTCTCACTCCGAGAGGAATGTTATGAGAAAAAGAAAACGGATCTAAATATTCTCTCGTTGCAATTCCTAAACAAGAATACAGTCAAGTAATTTCTTTTAATAGTTCCCTTCCTACTTGAAGAATGCTAATAGTTCACCGTGCTTGATAGCCAGTCTACCTTGATGGGGTAATTTGCAGAAGAATAACAAATCTCAAGACCCATGTAACTATACACAATACTATCCACAACGAAACCATTCCATCCCAATCATGCATAATTAAAAATAATAAATAGTGCCATGCAAATCCTTTCTAAATTTCCCCTTTACACACCACAAAACCTCAACAACAAGCAAACAAACACAAACTTACCAACCAAATAAACAAATAACCACTAAAATCAGCCAAAAATAATAATAATATCACCCACCAGTAATAATCACATCTTGAATCCCATCCCCATGAATCAAGCTCATATACCTCCCCCCATCCAGCTCCCTCCCTCTCCCATACGACGGCAGCGGATCAATCAGCGGCCATCTCTCCACATCCTGCAGAACCCAAAAAAATCCCATCTTTTTTCCACCCACCAAAAAAAAAACAAAGAAAATTATCAAAACCCTAACTTTCGAACCTGAGAAGCTTTAATAACTGCGCCCTGGGAGAGGAACAGAGTCATGTGGCTAGTGAGATTGAAGGGGCCAGTGAGCCAAACCCCCGGAGGGATGAAGAGGGTTGTGCCGCCGGCGTGATGGAGGTGCTGGATGCGAAAGATTGCTTCTTTGAAGGCGTTGGTGTTGAGTTTGCGGCCGTCGCCGACGCCGCCGAAGTCGGCGATGGATATGGTTTCGGGTCGAGACTTCATCGGCACGATGGTGGAGCATGTGGGCTCTTCGGCGGCGGTTGTTGGGTGGTGGGGTGGTGGAAGTGGAGAAGAAGGAGGAGGAGAGGTAAGATTACCGACGGCGGTGAGGGGAAGCGGAGGATCATGGTTGAGTGTAGAGTGAGGAAACGAGAGTGAATCTTTACAGGCGGAAACAAAGGGAAAGCCTGTCTCAGAGCTTCGCGTCTCCACTCTCAATAGAGAGAAAATGGAGCTAGAATGTTGAGGCAATTATTTAATATTTTGGGAGTTATTTTTTGCTATGTTTATGGAGCATTAAATGGGTACGTGAGAGACAGGCGGCTTTGAGACAGAGTGGAATATCTCGGCCTTCTTTCCTTTTTAATCAAGATTTATGCTAATTGTGGTAACGGACTGGTAGGGAGTAGAAAAGGAAAATATTCATAAATCATAAAATTAAGGTATGCTAATTGGATTTGGATCCTCTCCACTATAAAAAAAGTAGTGGATAGACCATTACTTTTAATCTCAAGCGTTGATTATTTAGTAGGCGGTTAAGATACAATTTAAATCTAACACTTACCATACCCCCGTGTATTACACTCATTCCTAATTTGCACTAAAAGAAAAAATCATAACCATCAACTAGATAATCAATGGTTGTGATTATGTAGTGGTCCCTCCACTATTTTTTTTTTGTAGTGGAGAGGATCCGAATCCATGCTAATTTGCTAAAGGACGTGTGAAGTATAAGTTTGGACAAGTTAAAAAATAAAAAAGATTCAGGTTGAACATTCAGCTTATTATTACAGTGCTGCATCAGGAGAACCATACTGTTCGTACATTCCAGCAGTAACTAACAATTCATATTTATACTTTTTGACCTGTTTTCGACTTATTAGATTCCAGTTAAGTGATTAAGTCTAAGTATCTTAATAATCTATATTTTCTACTCTAATTTCAACGGATAAGATAAATAGTATTTAGAATTTTCATTATTATATTAAAGATCGCTATTATATATTTTAGTTTAGGATTTTTTGTACAGTAAAGTTAATATATTATATCTCGTACTTAGAATCTTGACAGAAGCCGCTCTATGTTTTTGTCAATGATCCGGGCATTGATTATTTTAGTGCACTAATCTAGCACGCAATAAATTGGTAGTTATGTTTTTTTATAGTTTTGAGTGAACATTTCATATAATGTTGAATAAAATTATAACGTCGAGAGTTGAGAACGTTCCTACGCAAAAAATGCAAAACATCGTAGAATTAACCAGAAGATTCTCACCGCGTTAAAGAGTTTGGGTCAGGTGCAAATGGTGTCGTTAGAACGAGTCCACTCTTACCATTGATCAGCTTTAGCTGGACTGGGACCACCTGGTGACGTATAATGGCCTCCCATATTCTCAATGGACAACATTAAAAGCCGTGATGGGCCCCCAGAGCAGTGGTTCCTCGTTCCATTATTTTGTCGCGGCAAGGGGCTGTTTGAATAGGTTTTTTTGGATGGTAAAAGAGGAGAAAACTGTCAAAAATGTCAGCTTTTTGCCACCTTTCCCCTAAAATCACCTTTTTAAGGGGTGATTTTGGGGAAAAGCTGCCAAAAAGCTGACACTTTTGGCAGCTTTCCCCACCCAAAAAAAAGGAACCAAGCAGCCAAGAGAAAAGGCACGGCTAACGTCCTAATTAGCAGTACTTTATAGCGTGTTTCCATCAAATACCTATTAATATTTCAGAGTTATAATACCCAAATTATTATATTACATAAAAGAATCTTTTGGATCCGGACACAAAAAGAATGGGCCCAAATAAATTAATTCCCAGAAAACCCTTTTAGGATTAGGAATTTCCTAAGGGAAAGAATCCATTAGCGGGGTTTGTTTCACCAAAAATTTTAGCATTTGATATGGATTACAAGTTTTAGAATCAAAAAGTGAGTTTTATTTATTTATTTTGGGATTCCATGTATGGTGTTTGTTTTAATAAAAAGTTTACAATGTTGAATCTCAAAAGTGGAAAAAGTGTCTAAATTTTAGAATTTGCCAAATCCTCTCAATCGGAGAGGATTTTGACAAATCCCATAAAATGGGTGTGCTTACCTCTCAATTGGAGAGGATTTGAGAAATCTCAATTTTGTCTTTTCGTGGGAGGTAACCTCACCAAGATATATAGCATATTCATCATATTACAAAATTTTGGCATTTGGTAATGCTACAATTTGAACTTGAAACAAACAAAATATTACAAAATGTAGTATTCAAAATCTCAAAATATTAATGAAACAAATAACATTTTAAAAATCTTAACTCATAACAAAACGCCTATGAATTTCAAATCCCATGATAAAATCCATATCCTAAAATTATAGGATTTGAAACAAACACCCCTTAGGCCGTGTAGAAAATAAGCAGACATTTAATCTCAAAAAAATAAGAACAAGTACCAATGTGGATCTACTATCCATGTTCAAGTGATAATTAATTACATAAAATCAGTTTCAGGACAAATTATACCAGCTATTCTTGTCCCTTTCTCCCATAATTAGTCGTTCTCATCATCAAAGCTTCCCCAGTTTCGGAGTCGGGGGTGGAGGACAAAATGCACAGGGTCTGAGTTGGACCATCGTGAACATGTCTCCTCCAACTTTGTTCTCTGAATGAATACTAGACGCTTTCTTTTCCTTCCCGTCCCAGTTCATGTGCGTGTAGTTTATCTGCATCATTTGAAGAAGCGTGCATATCCAAGCAGAAAGTGGGTTTGTATTGCGGAGTAGCGTAGACCTCTTTTAAGAGGGGTTTAAGGAAGAGCCCAGCTAGTAATTAATGCTGGAATAGTAATAATAATTTGCCCTTGAACATTCAATACAAATTATGTAATAATATTGTAATGTTAATAAATTTAATTGTTGCACATAATTTGGTTATTATTTATATAATTGTTATATATATCCTTAGAAGTTATTTTGTTAGATCATGCACTGTGATGGTCACTTGCTTGGAGATATGATCTAACTTAGAAATTTCTTAAATTTGTGCTTAACCTATAACTAGTAAAGGATAACTTTGTTATAACAGGTTATTATGCATGACACCGATATATGAGATATGGTGGTGGGTCTCAACCATCGAGAATGGAGATTCTCCGGGTGTATGTCATAAGCACGCATTATGATGTGTGTAGCACTAGACCGTATTTGAATTCTCTAGGATGAGTCACCTAAGAGATAGAGAGTTCAAATTGTTACATGGTCCCTTTGACTTGATGATATTGTCATTTTCGATTTGATAATTTAGTATGCTTTGATGTGATGGTTAAGCTTGTTTAGCAAGCGCTACACAACCTGAAACATTGGGTTGCTAAATTTCATTTAGGAAAATGATGGATGTCTAGATAGGATCCAGTATGCTCATTATGATGAGTTAGTTTATTATTATGCATTCCCATGAAGCTATTAAATTCCTGCCGGCAGGTGTTTTTGAAAAAAAATTTAAAAATTTATTTTCTTATAGAAAAATAAAATATTTTGATGTTTCAAAATAATTTTTATTTATGCTCATGGGAATTGCAAATTTAGGCATGAACAAATAGATGAGTTGTCCTGCTTAAAAGAGTTGCCTAAAATAAATGATACTGGAATGGAGTGAATATAAGATATTATTTATTAATAATTAATCCCATATTATGGAAGAGCTTTTATGAACAATTGGTCGGATAGGGATTTGATTGTTAAATTAAAATTATTAATTTGATTAATAATTGGTTCTCGATATGGGACCCAATTGGTCTCACTAATGTCATTAGAAGAGGTATACATGCAATACAATTCTATTTCTATCCTTAATTGTTATGGATAAAGTTTTTGAACAAATCTATTCTATCCTTAATTGTTATGGATAGAGTTCTAGATAATTATGAATTGTTTAAAGTTAAAATCTCTAAGACTAGTGTAATCCTATAAATAGGGTTCATATGTAGCCTTATGAAAAAAAAAGAGAAGAGATTCAAAATCTTATGAAGATAATATGAAGAAATAGATTTTTGAGAACCTATCTCTCAGTATTGCTCCTCTACGGTGACGGGTGGATTTCAATTGGAGGCTTTTTCTCTTGAGGAAGCTATTTTGGATTGATCTCGGGACAGATTATTGTAGAAATTCGGAAAGCGTTTCAGGTATTCTTCTAATTAGAAGAGGTATACATGCAATGCAATTCTATTTCTATCCTTAATTGTTATGGATAAAGTTTTTAAATAAATCTATTTCTATCCTTAATTGTTATGGATAAAGTTTTTGAACAAATCTATTCTATCATTAATTGTTATGGATAGAGTTCTAGATAATTATGAATTGTTTAAAGTTAAAATCTCTAAGACTAGTGTAATCCTATAAATAGGGTTCATATGTAGCCTTATGAGAGGTTAAGAGAAGAGATTCAAAATCTTATGAAGATAATATGAAGAAATAGATTTTTGAGAACCTATCTCTCAGTATTGCTCCTCTACGGTGACGGGTGGATTTCAATTGGAGGCTTTTTCTCTTGAGGAAGCTATTTTGGATTGATCTTGGGACAGATTATTGTAGAAATTCGGAAAGCGATTCAGGTATTCTTCTAATATTTAATTAATTTTGATTAATAGTCATGATATGCTTTTTCCGCTGGTTGTATGTCATGATTCCAACAATTAATTCATCTAAAATGAAAGGGATTAACTTTTAATCTGTTAGCTAAAAGTTATTTTATTTTTTTCATTTTTAATGTTTTTTAATGGAATTTCTAAGGGTAAATATCAAAAGAAACCTCCTTTTAACATTGGAACGTTGTTGGGACCCCCCAACCCCACCCCACCCCCTCCCAAACCAAACTTCAGAAATATAGAAAAACCGCTCTATACGTATGGAAATTATCTCAAAAAACTTCAGCTAACTTTCAGATTTTATTAGAAAACCCCTTTAACTTTTAAATTGTTATCATGAAACTCCCCTTTAACTTTTAGGTTTTAGGGGGGAGTCGGGGAGGGGAGAGAGGTTTGATAAAATCTTAAAGTTAAAGGGGGTTTTCTGATAACCCATAAGCTTAAGGAGGGTTTTGTAGTAATCATCCAAAGTTGAGGGTGGTTTTATGATATTTAGCCAATTATTAAACTCTGCAAAAGAAGTGTATTAGTAAAACCTGTCAGAAGGACTATTTTAACCTTTACATAATTTTCTTGTTTACTTAAGATAGATTTATAAACTTTATTCCACATGTTTCTTTTCTCCGCGGGTCAAAAGGAGGTCAGCTCCCTTTAATCTCACACTTAATTCTTCATCAGACGATGCCTTAGATTTTTTAGTAATTTACT